TCTGAAAATCAATACATCCTCAGAGATTGAGTTCGATGTAACTGTTTGATTGCTTTCAGACAGAAAAAAAAAATTGTTATTCTACATCCTGTTGTACAAAAAGGGCCTCAATCTTTAGTACGTTTATTTGAAATTTTCCGCTGTTAAACGAGCATGTTACCACTGGTAGCCATTTTCCATGTTTAGGTAACTGTCATTTCCAGTGGTTTACATCTGTCTTCTCCCTTCGATAGCTCAGTTGGTAGAGCGGAGGACTGTAGGATGTTGATAGCAGGTATCCTTAGGTCGCTGGTTCAATTCCGGCTCGAAGGAGTTAATTATGTTGGTGTCCAATGTTTGTCTCTCCAAATGGCACAGATGCATAAGCGATACTTCCTGAGAGTTTGAGTCCAAGTCACTGCTGGGCTTTTTGGGACACACAAAAAAAATGACTCTTCCTCATCACGAGTACATCAAGGGCCTCAATCTTTACTACGTTTATTTGAAATTTTCCGCTGTTAAACGAGCATGTTCAGACACCACTGGTAGCCATTTTCCATGTTTAGGTCAGTGTCAATTCCAGTGGTTTACTTCTGTCTCCTCCCTTCGATAGCTCAGTTGGTAGAGCGGAGGACTGTAGGCTGTTGATAGCAGGTATCCTTAGGCCGCTGGTTCAATTCCGGCTCGAAGGAGTTAATTATGTTGGTGTCCAATGTTTGTCTCTCCAAATGGCACAGATGCATAAGCGATACTTCCTCAGAGTTTGAGTCCAAGTCACTGCTGGGCTTTTTGGGACACACAAAAAAAAAAGACTCTTCCTCATCACGAGTACATCAAGTGCCTCAATCTTTACTACGTTTATTTGAAATTTTCCGCTGTTAAACGAGCATGTTCGTAGACTACCACTGGTAGCCATTTTCCATGTTTAGGTCAGTGTCAATTCCAGTGGTTTACTTCTGTCTCCTCCCTTCGATAGCTCAGTTGGTAGAGCGGAGGACTGTAGGCTGTTGATAGCAGGTATCCTTAGGTCGCTGGTTCAATTTCGGCTCGAAGGAAGTGATTATATTGATGTCAGACAAAATGCATAAGCGACACACCTTCAAAAGTTGTGTTCGATGTCATTGCTTGATTTCTTTAGAAAGAAAAAAAAGCTCTTCCAAATCCCGTGGTACCGCAAGTGCTTTAGTACACTTATCTGAAATTCACGTCTGTGAAACATGTATGGAGACTAAATGTTTGTCTCTCTAAATCTTCCAGATATGTAAGCCATACTTCTTCAGAGGATCAGTTTGGTATCATTGCTTGATTTTTTCGAGGGAAAAAAACAACCTCTTCCTTGTCTCGTGGTACAAGTGCCACAGTTTTTCTTTAAAGTTTAAGTTCGATGTCATTGCTTCATTTAATTGGACGGAGAAAAAAAAGCTCTTCCTCTTCCTGTCGTACAGCAGCTGCCTCAATCTTTAGCACGTTTATTTGGAATTCATCGTTGTTAACGTAGACCCACATTGGTAGCCATTTTCCATGTTTAGGTAACTGTCATTTCCAGTGGTTTACACCTGTCTGCTCCCTTCGATAGCTCAGTTGGTAGAGCGGAGGACTGTAGGATGTTGATAGCAGGTATCCTTAGGCCGCGAAGGATGTGATATCTTGATATCAGATGTTTGTCTGTCCAAATCAGACAAAACCATGCACACATCTTCAAAGGTTGCTTTGATGTCATTGCTTATTTGTTTAGAAAGAAAAAAAGCCTTCCAAATCCCGTGGTACCGCAAGTGCTTTAGTACACATCTGAAATTCACATCAGTGAAACATGTATGGAGACTAAATGTTTGTCTCTCTAAATCTTCCAGATATGTAAGCCATACTTCTTCAGAGGATCAGTTTGATATCATTGCTTGATTTTTTCGAGGGAAAAACAACCCTCCTGTCCCGTGGTACAAGTGCCACAGTTTTCTTTAAAGTTTAAGTTCGATGTCATTGCTTCATTTAATCGGACGGAAAAAAAAGATCTTCCTCTTCCCGTCGTACAGCAGCTGCCTCAATCTTTAGCACGTTTATTTGGAATTCATCGTTGTTAACGTAGACCAACATTGGTAGCCATTTTCCATGTTTAGGTAACTGTCATTTCCAGTGGTTTACCTCTGTCTGCTCCCTTCGATAGCTCAGTTGGTAGAGCGGAGGACTGTAGGATGTTGATAGCAGGTATCCTTAGGTCGCTGGTTCAATTCCGGCTCGAAGGAGTTAATTATATTGGTGTCCAATGTTTGTCTCTGAAAATCAATACATCCTCAGAGATTGAGTTCGATGTAACTGTTTGATTGCTTTCAGACAGAAAAAAAAAATTGTTATTCTACATCCTGTTGTACAAAAAGGGCCTCAGTCTTTAGTACATTTATTTGAAATGTTCCGCTGTTAAACGAGCATGTTACCACTGGTAGCCATTTTCCATGTTTAGGTAAATGTCATTTCCAGTGGTTTACTTCTGCTCACCCTTCGATAGCTCAGTTGGTAGAGCGGAGGACTGTAGGATGTTGATAGCAGGTATCCTTAGGTCGCTGGTTCAATTCCGGCTCGAAGGAAGTGATTATATTGGTGTCCAATGTTTGTCTCTGAAAATCAATACATCCTCAGAGATTGAGTTCGATGTCACTATTTGATTGCTTTCAGACAGAAAAAAAAAAATGTTATTCTACATCCTGTTGTACAAAAAGGGCCTCAATCTTTAGTACGTTTATTTGAAATTTTCCGCTGTTAAACGAGCATGTTACCACTGGTAGCCATTTTCCATGTTTAGGTAACTGTCATTTCCAGTGGTTTACTTCTGTCTGCTCCCTTCGATAGCTCAGTTGGTCGAGCGGAGGACTGTAGGATGTTGATAGCAGGTATCCTTAGGTCGCTGGTTCAATTCCAGCTCGAAGGAAGTGATTATATTGGTGTCCAATGTTTGTCTCTGAAAATCAATACATCCTCAGAGATTGAGTTCGATGTCACTGTTTGATTGCTTTCAGACAGAAAAAAAATGTTGTTCAACATCCTGTTGTACAAAAAGGGCCTCAATCTTTAGTACGTTTATTTGAAATTTTCCGCTGTTAAACGAGCATGTTACCACTGGTAGCCATTTTCCATGTTTAGGTAACTGTCATTTCCAGTGGTTTACTTCTGTCTGCTCCCTTCGATAGCTCAGTTGGTCGAGCGGAGGACTGTAGGATGTTGATAGCAGGTATCCTTAGGTCGCTGGTTCAATTCCGGCTCGAAGGAGTTAGTTATGTTGGTGTCCAATGTTTGTCTCTCCAAATGGCACAGATGCATAAGCGATACTTCCTGAGAGTTTGAGTCCGATGTCACTGCTGGGTTTTTTCGGACACACAACAAAAAAAGACTCTTCCTCATCACGAGTACATCAAGTGCCTCAATCTTTAGTACGTTTATTTGAAGTTTTCCGCTGTTAAACGAGCATGTTCGTAGACTACCACTGGTAGCCATTTTCCATGTTTAGGTCACTGTCAATTCCAGTGGTTTACCTCAATACTCTCAAACATCACCTGACTATCCATAGAGAGGCCTGTTGTCATTCATAAGAACAAGGTGGTTTGCAAGTGTGAAGTGAGGGAAAGCCCAAGAGCCCGGTGTGCCCCCAGCAAATAAGCATCCTCAGATGGTAAAATCTCAGGGTTAGCTGCGTGGGAGCCTCATGTATTTATCACAAAATTTCACCAGGTTTTATAATGTTGCGTCTGCAATGCGGTTTGGCTCCATGAGTCATGTCTTCAGAGTGCGTTTCTTGCCCAATGTTTTTTACTTTCATATTTTGTGCTTAAAAAGGTACAAAACCGTGTGTTTCTCTGCTTAAAATCTCCGCCAACCTGCTTCTGACTTACTGATGTCTGGCCTGCTGCCACAGAGTTGATGTTGTGGAATTGTCTGTAGCGGGCATAATCAGCTCTGTGTCCGGTAGAATTTGGGGGGGTTATGGTGTTGTCCTTCATGTTGGCTGTACAGACTTTCTCGGGTATGAGACCTTTAGGTTTTTGTATGTTGGGCCCAGGGCAGAGAAAGGAATCACTATTGGCTGAAGTTTTATGGTTAATTTAAATGATTTGAATGATTGTGAGTCAAGATGCATGTAAAGACTGAAGGAGTACAGTAGAAATATTACAAGAAACATTCTTTTGAGTTTTGAGAATTTCACATTTTATTAAAGTTTGTATAAAATCTAAATACCATGGCCCCTTCACCAACATGGCATTGTCCAAAGGTGTAGTGCTTTTTGTTTAAGTACCGGAGCGCACCTAAGACATACATTAAGTTGTGGCTAATTTCAAAGGCTAAACAACTAGCTAAATAGTATTAGTTAATACCATGGAGGCAGTGGGTTTAATTTGGGTGGCATTATGCAATATAGTATAAACAAGCAGTTTGTGTTTTGAATGATTTCACTTACTTGTGCAGAGCAAATTAAGCCGCATTCAGAACATCCATTCTGAGGAAGAGTTTCAGTGCATGCAGAGGACAAGCTCGTCTAATACAGGCTGTGAAAAACGTAGCTGAGCAAGCTTTCATGTTCTGCAGGCGTTCTAGAGTGGAAGGTTTTCTTGCATCTTAACTCAGTACATGAGTCGATGTCATGAATCAATCAACTAAAGGTCCACTGTGTACTGTAGGATTTAGTGGCATCTAGTGGCAAAGTTGCAGAACGCAACCAACTGAATACCATTCGCCTTTCAAGTAAAACACTGTAGAAACATGGTGGACTCTGTAGAAGAAGACCTTCTAAATGTTACACTCCTGGACCTTTAAATGTCAATATGATGATTTTGGGTCTCTTGAATGCCATATGCTTCAGTGATGACTGGATCTTTAAGCCTTTAAAAATAATTTAAAGGAATTTTAAGATTATGCAAATTGCGATTATTCTATTTCCTCGTTCGGGTGTGCTCCGGCAGCACTACCCCTTTGGCTTTTTCCTTCTTCTCATTGAAAATGCTATTAAATCACGTAGAAGAACTAAAGTAAACAAAATATTACAAAGTAAAACTGCTAGATTTTATTTAACACTTCAGAAAACATCACACGTATCACTGTAACAGAGTAGAATTTCTGAGCGTGATTTTTACAAACTTTATATATATTTTTTAACATTAACAAACAACAAACCCTCGTCCTGTTTGGTGATGATTTTTGAATTAAAAAAAAAAAGCGTGAAGAGAAGGATCTTTATCACACTACAGTTTGACAATTGCATCTTACCGACCCCACCTCAGCTTAATGCAGACTTCATGCCATTTCCCAAATTTGGGCTTTCGTAGTTCCAGTAACCGACAATGATGGTGGTAAGTTGTAAATAGAGGCTTCAAAGCTGTTTAAACACTGCCTTGGTATTTCTCTTACATTTTTCAACTTATATTTAAGTTACAGTTTCCTTTAATAAAAACAGATCAAGGCAGTAATGACATTACTGTAAAACCCCAGGAAATAGTTTTGAGATCTTTCTCAAACTCCGGGTGGATGTGCAGGAAGTTGCAGAGTCGGGAGCGGTATACGGTAGCACGTCTGACTTTCCACTTGCCGCGATGCGTTGAGTTAAAACCGATGAGCTTTCAGGTGTACCTGTGGGAGGACCGGGCAGGGGACCCATTAGACTGAGAACCAGTGTATTTGGGGGAACCGTGAACTGTGTAACACGGCGGGTTGTCAAGTTCAGAAGGAGATCCAATGCTGTTGCTGGATGAGTCGTCCATGGAAGGATCCTGCAAAACAAGAACACTTTAGCCCAGATCCTTTTAGTAAAACAGTATTTATAATGTGGAAAAGCCTCCTAGATTCCCTGATATGAACACTCATCGGCCTGTCAGGCTTAAAAATATATTAACGTTCTTTCAGCTCTGAGGAACGTCTGCAAGGTATTCCTTTCAGACTGTGTACAGCCCCAGCAAACTCCAGTAATAATGCAAGGCAACGATTACGATGAACTCAAGTATCCCTTCATCAACACCAACATTAATAATAGTAATTTTTTTCAGATTTTCTGAATAATTTTGTTTTCTGTTTTTCGGACTAATTTTTTTTCTGAGTTTAGAGAGCATTTGAAACAATAGACCCATTCATTCCTTTATTGAGAGCTCGATTTAACGGAAACAAACATGACCGGCTTGTTTAGTTCAATCACGTTATACTTTGATCTGGGTTTAAGACACTGGGAGATAGTCCTGTCTTTAAGTCATATAGATGGTATTATCATTAGTTTGTCAACTCTACGCAGGAACCTGAGGACTTTGCAGTTGTTCAGAAGGAAAGCCCATTCAGATCTGCTAGACATAGCAATGTATACATAAATAAATTAAAAAATTACTCACTTTTTTCAAGTGAATGCAATACGCTTCCGTACAAACGGGATGTTATTTAACTGTTATTCAAATAAAAATGGATTATTTTGATCTGCAATCTATAAACGATGATCACAAGAGCCAATCAGCTGACGCATTTATTTTATTTCACAGGAAAGTTAGTCAGTCTTTGACACGTGTAGATCTACTTGGGCAGGATGCTGAGTATATTAACACACGAGGACTTGTTTTAGCATTTTGCATTCGTACTACTACTACAAGGAGTGACAGGGAGCTGGACGTTACAACTATTTATTGATTACTTTTAATGATTTTTTCCAAAGTTTATCACTTTTAGCTAGCCCTTTCATCTCCTTAGCTCGCTCGCTTAGCTTAGCTCTCAATTGCTGTAACATCTAAATGAATTGTTCACAATCTCTCCATGTACCCTACGGCAACAGCAGAATTACCCTGTTGGGTACAAGAACCCCTGATTGGGAATCACTGATGTATGGCAAAAATTAAGTCCTTAAAGCACTCGCTGCCGCTCATTAAACTACGAGCACTCAGTACTAATTAATAATAGCCTCCAGGGGACGCTAGCATTGCTTGATCTCTAGTCTCGCTACCTTTTGTGAGTCACAGAATGTAATAAAATCACAGTGATAATGAGATAAATACCTTTTGCTGCAGGATGTAAAGTGAAGTTACTGCATTTATTCCATTATGCTCTTTTGGAAGCAAGTCATCTGTGGCAAAGCACAAAACATTGGGCTGTCATTAACACACATTTCTCAAGGGATTATTCCAATACAGTGGAATATTAATTCAGTTTAACAATACTATACCCGTGTGACTGATTGGTGAGTGATGGAACCTGGAGAGAGGCTTTCTAGGTGGATGTTTTGGCCTAATAAAGACAAAATGGCATCAGTTCATCGATGTTATGTAATAATGCCTTTCTAAAATCAGTCTTGTTAGATTTGATTAAAATAGCTATTAGAAATTCTTACTTTTTGGAAGGCGTCCAGCAGGCACATACTGTTACCAAGGTGATGAGGAGGAAGATGCCTCCAGTGGAAAGAATAATATAGAGGGAACTTCTTCCTGGTAGGATATGCAAAATTACAGTTAACAAACATTAACAGTGGACAGAACAACACAAGAACATACAGCAAAGTCATTTAAAGTGTATTATTGTTCAATATATATTTGCAAAATCTGGAAGTCAAGTTTTTTTTTAACTCAACTCTTGTGTCTCGAGTTGTGCTTTTGAGTCCTATTTCCTGGTTTAGTTATAACAATCATGTAAAATATCTGAATATCTTTGGTGCACACATTCATGTCCACCTCAGAATGAAGTGTAATCAGTGATGATCCCTTAACTTTTTATTTAAAAGTGCCGTCATGAGGGCAGTACATTCAGTTAGTGTCACCCATGTGACACATGACTCGTGGGTGGATGACTTTCTTTTAAACTGAGCCACTGCCCAACAAAGTGTTTGTGCTGCAGTAACTATTAATTACGTCAAAGAAACTACTTTTTCAAAAGATAATGACTTTGAGTTCTTGTTGAATTGTTGCTAAAATATGAATGTTTTATTGTTTTTTGACTATCAGATCTAAGATCATTTAACTCTTGTCGGCACTGCAACCGATAACTATATCACTTACTGTATACGGTCAGCCTGATGGGTAGACTTGTCATATTGCCCACAGGATTCTCCACCATGCATGTGTAGACGTCATCATCTGCCATCAGCACCCGAGTGATGGTCAAGAACTTCTGGTCAGTCGACAAGACGAACCTCGTCACGTTGGTCAGTGGCTTTCCACCTTTGAACCACCTGTACGTAGTCCTGGTTCCATTGTCATGGGAGCAGTTGAGGACGACGTTTTCGCTGAGCTCCAGGACCGATGAAGACTCCATGTTGATATAGGGCCTGGATATAGACTCTGTGAAAGGTCAAAAAACAACAGTAAAGACTCCATGTGTGATGCAGGATGTATGGTTACCCTGAGGCATACCGGCCAACATTGTGGTTTCATAGTAGGGAAGGGAGTCAACCCAACTGACAAAGGCTCGCCGAAACGCGTCAGAATTTGTTTGTGTGTCTAATTTGACAATGTCATGACAATAAAGGCATTTCAATTGTTTAAAAGAAAGTGCCTTGGTGTTGTATTGTCCAGGAAGAGCTCCTACCAAAACCTGCAGCTAGTTTAAAAAATTAAAAGTTGCCATTTTACAGTTCTTTCTTGTGGAAAACTAATAGATATGCTGTTTCTAAACCACTGTATGAAGCAGATTTATGAGCTGCAATTTCTTGCTACTCATTGCACAACATATACGCAGATACCAGTTTATCTGTAATAAGCTCTTATCAGCCAATAATATTGGACTGTTTTTATCGGTTGAGCTTTAGATTGGAGTGCTATGAATATTTATAAAGACTTGGGAAGAGCGGGTACATCATTATCTGTATCTCGACCAACTGAATGATTGTATTTGTATCCATACTTGGAATGGATGGGATTTAAAACTGGAGTGGACGGGACTAACCGGAAGTTGTTAATGTAAGCCTGAAATTTATATGGGTAGATTTGGATACTCCTTTGGCCGAGTACTCGTTCAACGCTAATAAAGTCTATGGCATATATCGCAATGTTTTGCAAGTTGAAAGTAAGTTTCAAGTCTTGATACTCAAGTTCCAGGTCTGAAACTACCACTGAACTTGTAGTATTGTTGTTATTGTTGTTGTTGATAATGTTATTAAGGTAATAAGTTTTGGAAGATTCTTGACACTTGCTGATGGAAACATTGAAATAATTGTACATGGCTCTTAAGTTTTAGGGCATCGGTTGGCAGAGGATTGCATTCTCAGCAGTGGAGTAGGACGAAATGTTCTCCCTGACAGAGATTGGCTCCGGTGGAACATTGTTGCTCCCTCCTACTCTTCTTCAGGATACAGGTGACCTTCACATAGGCCTCTTTGTGGGCAGGGGTGATGCCATTCTTTCATTATCACTGAGCTGAAATACATTAGGGAGCATTTTCCTCTTAACATTCTTGCCTGTGAAAAGATGTCAATTTGAGATCTGTCCCTGTTGAGTCCCTCCAGTCTTTTTTTGTCTGGGGCAGGCCTGTACTCCTCCAACAAGTGACTGTGGTCACCTCAGTCGTATTGTAATGCCAGCCAGTGCTGCTTCCCACACAATAGCTAGTAATGTAGATCATAAACACACACACAAGCACACATACCCATAGAATAATTTTCGATCCTTAGATCCTAACTATCCTTTTTTCTTACCTGCTATGGTCGGAAATATTTAACCTGCTCCGGCACAGAGTTGGTTTGTGCCTGTTGGACGTAGTTTCCCCTTCATTTCAATTTGGCAAATATAATGATACAGCACTCATGCTGACTTGATTTGACGCCTGTGTGCAGCAAGTAAACTACCGCCTGTACAAACAGCATCATAAACAATATAGACTAAAAAACATATCATAGCTGCTTGTAGTGGCTGAATCCAGATAGAAACTGTAAAGTTCTGTTTGCTAAGAACAGAAAGTTTACACCATCATCTCCACCACCTGCTGCTCTCTGATTATCAGCTGATTCATTCTTAATCATACCTATAGCCTCATATGCCGCCTGCACTTCACTTCATGCTACTTATCAAGCAACATGGATTCTAGAGACCTCATGTTATTCCTGGCATAACTCCATTGTCCTACAACCTGAACAGAAGCCTGATCATCCAAAGACAAAACGCCGTACCTGCCAACACTCAAGGTCGTCTCTCCTGGGAAAGTCCCATAATTTGCAGGCCCTCAAACTTTAATATGAATAATATTTACTTTGTCCAGAATTTTGCTGGCATCACCAAAGTTGTCTTTGAAACACAATCCACACACTACTTCAGTCCATCTGTCACTTGGCAACCCACAAACATTTCAGCCTTTTGGGGGGAAATGTGTGTTTGCTGTGCCACTTCTGAATCAGAAGAGAATAAATCATTATTTTACATTTGATGGATCAAGGTTAGCAGCTTCCTTCTGCTTCCCATCTTTGGGCAAAGCTTAGATAAACATGTCCTTGATCTATCTCTGTACTTCCACTCACTAAAGGTAAGCAGCAGAGATATCTTAGTGTTAGCACAAGAAATCAAACTAATAAGTATCTCTGAAAGCTGCCATCATCCACACTCATATTCTGAGCATAGAGCAGTGGATTGCAAGTTTGCAGGATCTCATGGACTATCAAAGCTTTTTCTCTGAGCATGGAGAAGAAACCCAACAAGTTGGAGTCTGTGTGATTGTACCCGAACATTAACTTTAACATACAATAGACCGTATGTCCTCCTACCATCCACAGTGAGTGTGATGCTGCCCTCTCCTGTAAAGGTATCGTCTGTGATGGAGATCTCCACGTCATAAGTTCCGTCATCAGAGAGTCTGAGGTTGTGGAGAAGCAGAGTCCCGTTCTCAAATACCAGGATGCGGTCACGATAGTCAGGCCTCAGGGTCCCGATGATGTCAGTTCCAATCGACTGGACGACAGTGACATCCTTTTCCCTCTTGAGCTGCCACTTGATGACTGGCAGGTCGACGCTGAAACTAGTGTAGCGGACTGACAGAAGGGCCTCCCCTCCTACTGTGCCTCTAATGAGAGTGTTGGGGATAGTCATATTCACTGCCAGAACCCCACCTGTAGAGAAACAAACTGAGTTTTAACCTCATGTTGTGATTGGCTGATAGGCATTTTGTTGAATGTTAATACCCAATGACACATCAATGCTTCCCTACGAGTAGTACAAGTCAATACAGGAAAGTCCCAAGTCAAACTAAACTAAACTTTGAGCTTCGAGTCCTAAACAAGTCATTATGCGCTCTTCACCAAATGTAATGCCAAACAGAGAAATAATATGTTAAATCATGATCTGTTTCGGGTTCATACTTTTATATAGGAGGTCTGTTGGAATAGGTTTACATGCTTTAATGTTCAAAAAACACATATTTTTTCTAATACATATATATTGCTTTACTCCAAAAATGAATCTCAAGAAAATAAAAAAGTCTTTTTTTTGTTTAAACAAGAAAAATAATCTTGTCAAGCATGTTTTGCATTAGAAAAGTATTATGGCTTTAAGAAAATATATCTAACTTTGTCTCAATAAGATATTACACCTAATATTGAGTTCAATTTAACCAGTTACAACAATGGTTTCCATAATATCCCAGCAGAGGAACCAGATTATTGTCCTTATTTTAAGAGTAAGACCACTTGCACAACTTCTCAGTTTAAGAGAAAGCCGTCTGGTCCCATTGTTGGAAATTAAGCAACTGTTTAGATTTTCATTGTTTTAATAAGAAAAAATAAATGCTTCTGGTGTCTATTTTTTATTTATTTATCTGAGATTAAGGTACAAAGTGTTAATTTCAGTTCAATAAAGTTACCAAAACACTAAGAAAGTCTATCTTAAATTACTGAGTCTTCAATGCTTGTAATAAGCAAACGTTGGCATTTTCTCTAGTTTTAAAGTTCATTAAAGCCTTTATTTTTATGCTAGTTTTAAGAATTGTAGCCTGGCAAAGGTCTTACCCCATTTGCAAAATGTTTTTGCTCAATACAAGAAAATTTGAATAGATTTAAGAATATTTGGCTTTGGTTTCTTGAAGGGCTGTTTCTCAGTGCATCTTAAAAACCTGAACTATCCCTTTAACTATCATATTCATAAATCTGCAGGAACTATGTTTGTGGCATGTTCAATTACACAACCAACATGACTTAATAATAATATAATAATAATAATTAATACTGCTCCAACCCCGGACACGATGTTAACATTGGACAATTCTGGAAACTTGCACATGTTTTCACATTCAGAAATGTAAAGATTATTTATTTCTTTAATATCTGCACATGGCAAATAACAAACATTAACTTTCAGCCCTCAGTGGGTTCAGGAAGCTCCACACTCTTACATTCCACATAAAGGACACACCACTTCTTGCATTGGCACTGCTTGTTGGCATTAGACATAATGCATTGTGCACTCTGGAAACATCCAATATGAATGCAATGTAAGGATACTGGGCTGTCTTTTGTGATAGCTTTACGAATAATTAAGAATTTCTTGCATACAGGTATTATTAGTCACTGAGAACATAGTTATCTATAGTATCTATAGTGAATGATAAAGTAGTAAGCTGAAGGCTAGTGTGGGCATCACGCCCCATCACTGCTGTATACTGGAGCCAGTTTGCATGGCCCATCCACATTACCATGGTAACAGCTGTCAGTCCTCGGGATGGGCCAGCATGAGCCAACAAAAGTGGGGATTGTTTGTTCAAATTTCCTTGTTGGCAGTTCATGAAAAGAGCACTGGGGATCAATCCAGATGCCATGCTAGCTCTGCAGAAACAGAGCAGCTCAGTGACTCTGCTGCTAGCCACAACAATAGCAGGACAGTGATGAGACACAGCTGAAAATAACTAAACATCTGAAAACACTGGTTCTGGTACAGCCTGTAGGCACAATTACTGTATTACTTACAAAGGGTGGGCACAGGACTGTAAAAGCACCCACACAGTCTGATGCAATCCAATACCCCAACAACAAATGCAACCTTTGTGATGTCTGTAATGTTCTCAGAGTGTTGTCAGCTTAACTCTTTTCTGGTGCCATAATCTGTTGTAACATGTTATAATATTATGCATCGAACAGAGCAAAGTATTTCATGAGACTGGTGCGTAGGATGAGTAGGATTGATTCGTTATTGCAACAGTATTATGTATAATATGGAACCATAAGCTTCGTATCATACTGTGTTAAACTCTGTAGATTTATATTTATGTTAAGTATTCAACTTTAAAATCATTCTGGATAGTTGCAAACACTTTTAAAGTTGCATACTTAATCACCCTGGATGGTGATTTTAAAGTTGCATACTCAACATAGCTTAGCCCCTGTTGTTGGTATTTTCCTCCAGTCCCTCAGCTAGTATTGTGAAAGCACAGCTGTCTCAGTTATTTTAAAATCTACTAAGAATTTGAAGTTTTTATTGTTAAAATCTAGTGGGAGGATCCTCTGATTGTTTCATCCAGTAATTAGTAAGGAGTAAAGAGTTATTACTAAATCATATATGCAGTTACTCCCTCATACTGAAACAAACTGACCCACAAAATACAAATCAGACTTCATTAATCATCTTTTAGTTACTTTACAAAATCTTTCAGGCAGAGTCCATGAACATGAAAGTGAAACAGACCATTTCTTGGCAAAACAAAACAAAACAAAACAACAAAAAAATCTGTTTATATCTGCAATTTTTAAATTCTTACTTAGAAAATGTGACCTACCTGAATTGAAGGAACCGAGACACATGAGCAATAAAATCTGGGAAATTATTTTGGCTTTTGAAGGAGCCTCCTTCTCTGCCTTCATCTTGGGACTCAAGCTTTGTTTTCGTCCCAGACGAGCAGCATGATTTGTGACACTGGGCAGGACGGAGAACACAGTCGCTCATTCAGGCTCTGCTGGGACTGAGTACATGTTGTTCTCGAAAAAGCCAATGTAGAAGCAGGACAAAAGTGTGTGTGTGTCTGGGTGTCTGTTTTGTACAGTTAGTTATCTTTAGGTTTGAATAATTATTATTATAATAACGTCACATCTTCATAAATATAGATAATCCCAATTAATCAGTCAGCTGATTAACTGATTATCTGGCATTTTGAGTTAGTTTCCAGCCCTGCACCATAACTCTCATGCATCCTGCTGTAAACGTTGTCTAAATGTTCCTCAGTTACCATCGTCTTTTCTAAATGTTAACACAGTTAATAAAGATAAAGTGTATTCTGCACAAACTTTATATTTCGTGTCCTCAACCAGCTCAGTCTTCGTTATAGCTGCACTCTCTCAGTGGGAGAAGACTGTGGGAATAAGAGCCAAACCGGTTCAATAATTAAGCTTTCTCACTAAAAATAAAGTAAAAATGTAAAGGGCAGAAGTGTTGTCGTTCAACAGCATTATTATACATATATAATGCTGAAGATCTGAAACCTGCTGGTGGAAATAAAGGAACAGTCGGGGTCACCAGTAAGATTCATCCTCTGGAGACCACAAATGTCTGTACAAATACTCTAATCTATCTAATAGTTGTTGAGGTATTTCAGTCTGGGTCAAAGTGGTATCCTGACCAATACTGATCAATAAGCACACACACGCTGACTTGGCTCGACTCGGTTTGACTCTGCAGTTCAGGGACTGGTCGAGAGAGCACAAGATAGAATGAAGAGAGGGAGCAGCGTTGACGACAACAAAGCATGTTATTTTCTAAATTGTTTCACGGCGGTTACGTTCTAAAGCACAAATAGTATAGTGCAGTATGAAAACTTTATTATGGAAGAATAGGTGATAATTTGTTGATACTCATTTAGTTTCCTATAAATTCTTCACAATAAAAGTCCCCTGATATTACTTATACTTTCATTGTGAAGCAGCAAAATTAGGAAATGTTTGGTTTTCATCAGCAGTAACTTACAGTTTTTTCCAATTGCTAAAACAGAAAATATCTATATATATATATATATATATATATATATATATATAAAGACCTGTAGTCTTTTTATAGTGCTTACTTCCTGATTGAAGTGGTAACAATTAACTATTGAGGTATTTGGTCAGGTGGCACATAAATTGGCCAATTAGCTCATGTAGTGTCATTTTGAATGGCAGTATTTTGAAATGCCAAACATGTGACTTTATGTCAGATTGTTGTGTCTTTTGCAGAGAACCGTGTTCACTGCATTTAAAAAGTGTCATTTTGAATTGCAAAATGTGTGTAAAGCAGAAAATGTGTTGAGAGTTTTGGAGACTTGAAAGGAGGTTTTGCTCTCTGTGTGTCAGTTTAAATAATTGTGCTATGCATGTCATTTGAGTGTGTTAGCAACTGGAAAAAACTGTAACACAAGTCTTATAACGGCTGAAAGCAGTAAAATGAAGCAAATATATAAAGGTACAAGATGGAGAGACACTAAACTTCAAACCACAGAGATTCAGTTAGAAGCTACAAAAGTACTGAAACACTTTTAAAGACACAAACGAGTTAAGAGTCAGAAATCGTGCATATTTTCTTGAGGGGAAGATTGGCCGCGGTCAGCGAGACAATGTCATTATGTAGTCTTACTCTAAAGTGTTTGACATTATCGTTCATAAAAACAACCTGAGGGCAGCCAGGAGACTGAGAAACATCTGATATCAAACATTGTACGCTTGTTTTATAAGAATCTTTTGAGATGTGACTTCCTGACTTTCAGTGGATAACACCCGCCTGTTCAAATATATATATTTATTTTATTGGTTTAATTTAGCAGAGAGAGTGCACATTAATAAAACATTTAAAGCCAAGAGGCACCTGGACAGATATTACAAAGTCAACCTAAAAATAGAATATATAATTACAATTAAAAGTAATTCAATCAGAAATATTTTATCATTATTAATAATAATAATAATTTGTATGTTACAGTTGTTTAAGGTCTTTACAAGACATTAATGAAACAGAAATCATAATAAAAATCATTGTAAGAAAATTCAAATGTGTATTATATATAACTTCTAACAATATATATATTATTATTATTATTATATAAAATATAAAAATAGAAAGATACAGTAAAAGTCTAAAGTATGTACATTATAATACAATATATATATAAATAAATGTATGCTACAATATATGACAGAAGAGTAATGAATAATGTATAAATAGTCATAATTGATAATTAATCACAGTATAATTGATCATTTATTAGCATGCACCATTAATAATAACAAATAAAGTATTAATATTAATGGCAGCTTTATTCTGGACATACTATTTAAAAAACAAACAACACAGACGCTCGTAGTTCAAGAGCAGACACATAAAACAATAAAATTATGAATATTGGTAATAACATGGATTATATTACGCAATATCTCACACACACACACACACACACACACACACACACACACATTCTAAAGCCTAATTTGCATATTCCGGAAAAATTTGCTTTAAACTGGTCGATGACAACTCGCAATGGAAGGTTCCGTGTTCCGTGCTTTAGACCTTCAGAACTCACTGTGCGTAACACTCACAAAGATACAAGCGTTGCATCTGCATTCACTCGTTTATCCAGTTTTATTGCATTTTAAACCCATTTTATCTTCATCATGGTGAAAGAATCTCCCCAGAAGATCAAGACTCGCCGTTCTCCGGCCCTCAAGAGGAATCTGGGTAAGTTAGAGATCCGGTTGTCCCAATCCGGTTATCAGGTAGAGACTTTAAGGGGCGTCTATGAGACAGTTTCATCCTGTGATTGACTACAATATGAATAAATGTTTAAACTTTGACTATGTTACACATTGTTAGATAAGTTCCACAATTCAATCGTTCATTTTACAGAAACCATCAGGCACCAAAGTATCAGATAATCAAATGAATCGATATGGTATTCAACAAGTAATATTTGTACTGTTTTAAATGAAATTGATTTTCCGTCTTTGCTGATTAAGAGTTTTGTGCTAAGAAGTATCTGTTATTGAGGGCAGAACTGAAGCAATAAAAGCCAAACATAATAATAACAGTCCCTCGAGGTGGAGTTAGTAGATAGAGACTTTAAGGCGTCTGTGAGACGGTTTCATCCTGTGACTGACTACAATACACAACTAATTGATGTTTCTTTATGTTTTCTTATTTGTAGAGAGCACTAACGGCAGCACAAGTGCAGAGTCTGAGAATGATGGCAGGACCCCGAGAACTAAAAGGAAGGCCAGTCCTGAGAAGAAGGCGCCCAGGAAGAGGGCAAGGGTGGTTGGATCTGATGCCCAAAACACCTTTAAGGAGGAGGATTTACGCATCAAAATGTTCAAGCGTAAAGTCAGAGAGGACGGAGAGGGTCTGTGTAAGAAGCAGACGAAAAAGCGGAAACACACCCAGGACGACAATGAAACAGCGTCCACCTCAACAGACACTGGAAACAAAGGTCAGATCATTGTGTGAAATTCATGTTGTTCTTTGGATGTGTAAAACCTCTTAAAACCCAACGTGTCGCCTTGAGCGAGTTCTAAGCTGCTTGGATCTCCAACACAAATATAAATGTTTAAACTTTCACCAATATATGTTGCACATCGTTAGATCAGTTCCACAATTCAATCGTTCATTTTACAGAAACCATCAGGCACCAAAGTGTCAGATGATCAAATGAATCAATGTGGTATTCAATAACTAATATTTGTACTGTTTTAAATGAACAATTAGATTTTCCGTCTTTGCTGAGGAAGAGTTTTGTGTAAAAGGAATTAAAGACCAGTTATTAAAGGCAGAACTGAGGAAAATAAAAGCCTAACGCATAATAATAATTGTCCCTTGAGGTCGAGATCTGTTTTTTCTCTCTCTGATAAGGTATCTGAGACAGTTTTGTCCAGTGACTGACTACGATACACAACTAACTGATGTTTCTTTATGTTTTCTTATTTGTAGAGTCTGAGAATGATGGCAGGACCCCGAGAACTAAAAGGAAGGCCAGTCCTGAGAAGAAGGCGCCCAGGAAGAGGGCGAGGGTGGTTGGATCTAATCCCCAAAACACCTTTAAGGAGGAGGATTTACGCATCAAAATGTTCAACCGTAAAGTCAGAGAGGACGGAGAGGGTCTGTGTAAGAAGCAGACGAAAAAGCGGAATCATACCCAGGACGACAATGAAACAGCGTCCACCTCAACAGACACTGGAAACAAAGGTCAGATCATTGTGTGAAATGCATCTCGTTTATTGTCAGTTTGCAGAACTCAAGCTTCAGATTTATTATTACAGAAAGCACAGACATGTTTATCCACTGGGGTTTTGGTAAATTGATCAAAATGGACTTCAGTTCACCAAAAAATAGGATTTCTTTTGTCCAGTTTTGAGATATCTGTCTCTGGCTAATTGAATTTCATTTTCAGTCCTCACAGCACCGACACATTAACTTCTTTCTCCAAAGATTAAAAGTTAAATCTCTTGAATCGATAATTCACTAAACACACTAAGAGCCTAATATCAGAGACAGATAATAATAAATAATATATAATATTAAAATCGTGGACAAACATGCCAATGCAAATAGCATTAGCTTATAGCCAGGGCCAACCATTTGCAAGATGTCTTTAAAACCCCATTGACAAACCTGCAGCAAATGTGAACAAAAACAACTTCTGAATATATTTCCTTACTTTTATTTATGGTTTCCCATTATAAGCACTGTTTGTGTTTAGTTAAACCTCATTTAACTTTACGTTAACTTAACTTGAACTTAAATGACTTAAGTCACAAACGTTTGCAGGCTTGCAACTTTCTTGTAGTCAGGAGCCGAGCAGCTTCGTGGCAGACACAGAAATTAGAAAGATTGGCCATGGAAAATAAGATCCATTAAAGGCAGGGTCTCTAATAGACGCTGGTCTTCAATAGACGGTGGATCTGGATTTCATAGAAGTTCTTTGGATGC